TGCTGACTCTGCTGGTGCTGCGCTCCAAGCGCGGCTAGAGCGGGGCTTAAGTTTTAGAGAACTAATTTTAAATGTGTCAAACTGATTTAGTTTGCGTTTAGCTTAGGCCGCTTTTAGTAGTCATTCCTCTCCCAACTACCTAATCCACCTCCTTCTTGCGCCAGTAACTCTTAGGAATCCTAAGGTCCTAGCTAGCGTGTCTCTAGCTGCTTGCTTTTTTCTCTCCCTTTTATTCTTTCAATCTGCCTAGTTGTCATAAATTATTTAAGCACACATGCAACTTCTTCGTCTACATCTATTTCCCTTGCAAACTTTCCTTAATTTAAGTTGTGCACATTTTACGTAGTTTAATTCGTAAGGTTTAGAGGTACATAAATAAATTGTTGTAAATATTTAAAGCTTGCAACGCTACCACAAAGCAAATGAACGTAGCTAGTGACGTCACGAATCGTCGAATATTTTTAACAAACCCCTTTCAGTAATCTTAAAAAAAACACACACAAAATGTAAAAAAAAAAAACAAACAGAAACGGGCAAAAAGCACACAAAACAACTAATTTTATATATTTTCAATGGACTGTGATTGTACTTTTTTTTTGTTTTAATATTTGCACGCAAATTCGAGTTGGGTGCAAACCCAAAGAAAAGACAAAAGCAGAAAGACAAACAAAAAGGCAAAAAGAGGAACAAAAAACAAAAAAATATAAATAAAATAAAAATATTGGTGGGGTTTGTTTGTAACATTAAATAGCTTAAAGCATTTTTGTATGGGTTTAAGTTTTGTAAGTTAAAACGTAATTATATACATAAATGTTAACTACACCACATATTATAATTAAATTTATGTATACATATATATTTCTATGGAAATTTTATGCATACGACATAAATATTTCTCAACGAACAAATCATGAAACAAACGAGCAAAATAAAACACTTCTTATTTAAGCAATTATAATTTTATGAACGCAACTATGTATAAATAACAAACAATAAAGTAAATAAAATCCAACTTGTTAGTTTTCGTATTTGTCAAAGCTAAACTTGAAACACAAATTTCAAATTTGAATTCGCGCTCAATGTCTTTGCTTTCGTTATACAGCACTTTTTCTTTTTCAGCAAGTTGGCAGCGCCGCGCTTTAGTGCTGCCCAGCGCATCGAGTGAACATATGTTCGCTGTGCTCTCAGCGGCAAGAAGAAGCATCAAAACAAAGAAAATATTGAAAATAAGTATCAATTTCACTCTAGCAAATAAACAAAATGTGATAAATGTGTAATTAACTAGAGCACTATTAACGCCACACAATGGACAAGTCCAGCGCTTACGAGAAATTCACTAGCCATGTGGACCAGCTGCGTAACACGGAATGCAGGTGAGCGTTTGTTTGTGTTTGTGTTGGCTGCCCCGACTTTTTCGCTGCGCTGGGGCTGCAACAGACCGGCAACAGTTTGTTATTGCGCAAAAGACCAAAGCAGGCTAAAAATTGTAATGCAATTATGCATTTGGCGTCTTGCATGGCCTTATTGATCAAACAACCAGAATGCGAAGGGCTTTAGTAGCCTAACAACGGGCTGCTCGGCTCATTGCACATCATTGCTGTGACTTCATCAAATGCCTATACGCCCAGGTTGATTACAGTGGGCACTGCAAAAACATTGTTCGAAGATTGTTGACACTGGAATCTAGAATGACAATGTCAATGCAAGAAATTATGCTGGATATTCCAAATATTTACATAAAATTAAATATTAAATTAAATTTTAGGAAAATACGTATACGTATAAATAAACACCTGTTAAATTTTCGGAAGCGGTCTATATAAAAATATATTTAATTAATTTTTATTATTATTATTTATTTTATTTTTTTAATATTTTTTTTTTTCTGCCTGTCTCGAAGAAAATTAACTATTCGCTTGTTGAGTCATATGATAAATAACTTTATACCGGTCATCGGAACGCTCCGTATCTTTGCTTACAAATAGAATATAATTCAGTTAAAATTTTTTATTAAATTTCATAAAAACAAATTTGCATATTGAGCAAATAGTTACTGATATATTGGCCATCATTTGAAGTATGTTAAGTCACTTTATGCACCATGCTCAAAGTAGACACCTGTCTCGAAAGAGTCTTCCTTATCCCACTTCGTTATGCCAACCATGCAAACTTATTATCCGCTTGATTAACTGGAATATATTCTTCTATCGTTGCAGCCAAAAGCAGAAGATTGCCTGCTTTCAGCAAATTGCTGAATGCATTATGTCAAAGGCTTTGGCCAGCCACATCAATTATGCCGCACACTGTGGCACGGCCACCAATGTGTTGTTGCTATTTTGTGAGGATTTCGACTCGGTGGTGCGCATGAGCGCCGAGGAGAATCTGAACAAAATCTTTCGAGCTCTGGAGAAGACGAGAGTCAGTCGCATACTGATGGACTTATATGGTGAGATCAAGCGGAACGGTAATCAACGGTAAGTGAAGCATAGTGCACCATAACCTTCATGGTTAATCAAATCCTTACACGTTTTCCAGATCGCTACGCATTTGCCTAAATTTGTTTTCGTACTACGCGCCGCAAATCAAGGAGAAACACATCAAATGGTACGCTGTGCGGCTGCTGCAATGCATATCCGTCATGTCGCAGCGCAAGGAGACGCTGCTGCAGGAGACGCTCTCTGATTTTGTCAAGAACTTTGGACGCTACGTGCAGCAGGGCCTCAACGATAGCGAGACGTGTAAACTCTTTGAGGTAATGCAGCTCAAAAATTTGGTCGAATTATTGAATATTATTTATTAAAAATATTTTATAATAAGTATAAGTATATATATATATATATATATATATATATATATATATAGTATATTATCATATTACTAGTAAAAATATCCTGTATATATAAACTTTTAATTTATATTTAGCTGAATTCTAAATTCTGCTGTAAAACTTAAGTTAAATGCAAGTTAAAGCTAGATTGTCTAAGTTGAGATGCATCTGTGTATCAAGAGCTTCCGGAGGCCTGTCCGATTGGTTTAGACGTGACTGGCTGTATGTTGATTTGTTGATTCGCATCTCATTCTCTGAATTTCTTTGATTGCAGACATTCCTTGGCAACATCAGCTCGGATTGCGCAGTGAAGCGTCGTTGCTCGGCACAAAATTGCATCAGTTTGATTGAGCATGCGCGCAATAGAAGTCTCATGGCCAGGCATGGACTAAGCAAAGTGATTGGTAAGCCAACAAATGCCGGATATGAAATGTGCACGTGCACATCAATATAAACACATATATGCCACGACTATATCTCAATCATTACAATGCTAAACTACCAAATGCGTCAATTGTTAATGCAGCCGTCGGCTGTGGCATTTATTTGTTTGAATTGCGTTTTATTTCGATTTTCATTTGATAGTTTTTTTTTTTTTTTTGTAAGCTAATCCGTGATATTCATGTATTTATTTTTTTTTTTTTTGTGTCTGTTTTTGTTATTGCTTACCATTTGACGCGTTTACCAAATGCAAGCAGGAAAAAGTTGCATTAGTTTCATCAATAATGAAAACTGTGTTTAAAAAGCGTGTAAGGGCTTTAACGCACCAAATGCCAAGTGCCATGTATAAAAAAAATAAAATAGCATCAAAAGCCATGCATGCATGCATATATGTAGGTGGAGGTGTATGCATGTGGAATATGTGTGTTTGTGTGAAATATTTTTTAATATTCTAAAAAGCCACAAATCCATTGAAAATACCATTGCAAAATATTCAACCCAGTGCATTGTGGACGATGCTTTCGTTTGGATTTGGGTTGGGTTGGCCCGGGCTTTAGGTGTGGGTGCTGCCATTGAGTACTATACAAACTAACTGTAAATGCAATCACAGTCAGTCATAGAATTTTCCATGGCGTTTATTTGTCTGTCTGCTGTACGAGAGTATATTGTATATATATATATATATATGTGTGTGTGTGTGTGTGTGCAACTGCCACTACTAAAACTAAAATGCCAGTTGATATAAATTATATTTCTATATTGCCGTTGCTTACCTTTTGTGTGCGCTGTCCAGCCAAGTATCCACAGTCCTGCCCAACTATATGTAATGCATATATATTGATATTTTTACGAATTTGCTGCGATTTCAGACAACGGAAACGAGGCAGTTTTTATTTAGCCATTTGCTGGCTGGCAACTGCAGCAATAACTGCACTAACAACAAAAATCATACGAAATGCACTGTAAAAAGTTCTAAAAAAAAAAAAAAAATACAATAATAAAAGAAATAGAAAAAGGAAGAGGCAAAAATCAGTTTGGCATTTTTGCAACACAAATCATTTTTTATTGAATTTTCATGAACACTTTATTGGCAAAAGGTAAATGGACAACAGATTTTAGATATGTGTACCGTACGATACGCGCTGTAATTTCAGGTGCTTGCATTTCAGCCGAAATTGTTGTAAAACTAGATTCAATTAAACCCGCACAATTTGTTTGTGTTTACCATTTATTTATGCATTTCAGTGACCCGAAATAAAAAACATAAATTTGAAATTTGTGTGCTTACGGTCGGAGGACACAAGCTATGCGTCTAAGGCCAACTGAATATGCAATGCCAACTCTTTGGCTGCGTCCACATTGCGCTTTTCAGCTTTTTAGTTGTTTACCTTCAAATCAACTCCTTCAAATCCTGGCCTCTGTGGCTAAAGCTGCAGCTCTGGCTATGTCAACTGCAAGCCACTGCCTGGCAAGTGCATGCCACAATAGCTGGCGACAACAGCAGTAACAACAGCAACAATGAGAACATCAACAACAACTACTCAGTGCACAGTCTGCCGCCTCTTTTTATGGCAGCCATCAGTGAAGCACTTGCAACACTATGACGTCCTGCGCCTCTCCCTCGACACTCGCCAGGCCACAGTCTTGTGTCTTGAGCCTTGGCATGCCCCAACAAACATTCAGTAAGAGTAAGGTCCTTAACGCTGTTGCTCCTGCTCTCCCTCTCTCTCACTCTCTCTCTCTCTCTCTGCTCCCGCTGCTGCTTCTCTGACTGCTGTTTGTCTGTCTGTTTGTTTGAGGCTGTAAGGCAAGCAAAATGAAATTTATGCACTTGGACACTTCCCTGTAATAATTCATGCGAAATTGAATCAGATATTCATTCCTGTGCAGCTTTAAAAGGATAATCAACTTTATAAGCAGCCAGCAAACAACGGCAGCATCAAATTTATGCAGACAGCAGTTGTCGCGCTGCCTCCTTGCAAAACAAAAATGACCGAATAAGTCGCAGTGAATAAGTTGACCAAGTTAACAAGTTACCCAATTACCAACAATTGCTTTTCTGAATACTCATAATTTCAAATGGAGTTTCAGAACTACAAAAGTTGTCTGACTTTGTTCTTTGTTTATGGCTATTTAGATAGATCTCAATCATATCATACTTGACCTTCTCTCTCTCTGTCTCTCTACTTGAAAGAGTATGTCTGAATTGGACAGCTCTACGATGAAATTCCACCAAAACCAAAGCCAATATTGTTATTTATTTAAATATACATTAGGCCTACATAAATTGTGCTTCATTTCCATTCATTCCGCTTCCTACAAAAATACTTTCAGAGCAGTAAAGGCACATTTAACACTTTACAGTCCTCATTTATGCTCTGCTCTGTGGCGCCTTATATAATTCATGACATCCATTGTCGAAATTGTCGCACAGTTGGAAATGTGGCAGCTCTTAAATGAGTGGCATGTAGCCAGGGAGTTGAGGTACGTAGGCAGGCAAGCAGGCAGCTTTTTCAGAAGTGCCACTCAATCAAGTCAAGGATATTTCAGAAGTCAATTGATAAAAATGTGACACGAAGAACTTTGCCGTGCATTGGCGCATTTCATATTAATTTAAAAGATTAAACACCACGAGTTTTCTCAGCCATTAATTGAGTGCATTAAACGTGCCTCCGGCAGCTGAGCTCTGAATCTTGGCATTCGCAAAGTTTTTCTTTTTTTTTGCGGCTTATGGGCGCAATTAATTGATACATATGGAGCGTAGGCAACAAGTTCCTGCTGCTAGCCGAAAGTCAATTGGAGAGGGTCATATAAAAGTTGCTCCGGCATGGCGAAAAGTGTTTTTCAATTTTGTGGCAAGCCCAAAGGAAAACGGCAAACTAATTGAGTAACAAAGTTGCAACATGGCATTTTGTGATTGGTGGCGTATACGTAATAAAAAGAGAAAGAGAGAAATAACTGAAGCAAACAAACACACAGCGCAGCCTATTTGCGCGTATGTGTGAGCGTGTGTGACTGTGTGCGTGTATGTGTGCCGGCACAAAGTCTATAAATACAAGATGAAAACTTTTCAATGAGATAAATTTAATTGGTGGCAATTTGTGCGCAGCATGTGAGGTGAAGAGAGCGAAAAAGTTGCCAAAGAAATATGAACTGCAATTGGCTAAAGCTCTGTGCGAGCTCATGTGCGCCAGTGTGTGTGTGTGTGTGAGAGAGTCTGTGTGTGTGTGCTGCAAAGTTTCAGTTTGCGTTTTTAATTTGTGGCAACATCAGCCATAAGTTGTGCGCACCAACAAAAGACATTAACTAAAAGTTGTCTATGGAAGAGTATCCTGATCAAATGAACTAAGCACCTGTTCTCCTTTTCTTTTCCTTACCAGAAATGCTGCTAATGGATCAACAGACGAGTTGCGTGCTGGGCGCCTTGGGTTTCCTGCGTCTGCTGTTGCCGCAGCTGATACGCGGCTACGCTGCTGATTGCCCGGACGATGGCGACTCCTTGGCGGCTGCTGGACCGCAGCAGCAGCAGCAGCAGCAGCAACACGCTGCCGCGTCCGATTGCCGGCAAATTATTGAAATTTATGATTATTGTTTGCACCTGCTGAGCACGCAGCACACAACGAATCACGCCATCATAAATGCCGCACTCGAGGTCATCAATGGCATACTCCAGGCACTGCACGATGCTCCAGGAGCTGCCATACAGGCGGCGGGGCAGGGGCCAGCTGGTGCCGGTGCCGGTGCCGGTGCCGGTGGACTGGCGCAAAGTTTGCGCCAACTGCTGTGCAATCAACAACTGGAGCACAATGAGTATTTGCGGCGAAGGAAATCATTAAAAAATCAAATATTCCAATTGAGAAATTACGAAGTGGGCACAAGCCAGTGGGAGGAGGGGCCCGGCGGGGCAATGCCAATGCAAATGCAAATGGCAAAGAATTCAAATGCCAAACTGCAGCAGCAAAAGTGTCAACAGCAGCAGCAACAACAACAGCAGCAGCAGCAGCAACATCAACTGCAGATTGGCATGAGCTCGCTGCAAGTCGTGGGAATTAATGCCATGGCTGATGATGCTGACACCGAGAAAGATGCTGCTGCGAGTTCCGCTGCTGATGAAGGTAAAGTAAATAAAGCTGAGTCTAGATGAGCGTGTGTCTGGCTGTCTGTGTGTGTGTGTGTGCAGTCATGTACGACTGTCACATGCTGACAGAGTGACATCTGGACGGAGCGACTGACAGACAGAGAGACAGTTAGACAAGCAAACAGATAGACCGCACCGAAATCAAGAAAATTGAGCAATGCCACTGTCACAGTCAACCACCCACCCACCCACACGCACACATACACATACACACACACATACAGAGTCCCGCCCACACAATGCACATATGAAAATTATTGGTGCATGCTTTTAGGCGGCGGTGCATGCAAAATGAGGTCAAAGCGAAATTTGCATACACCGCCAGTAACAACAACAACAATAACAACAACGAGTTACTACACGAATTGTAAAACTAGAGCTCTAAACCCAATGCGCATTCGTTCCTCTCTTTCCCAGCTGCAAAGAAAGCATCGCGACAACACATTAGAAATGCAGCACGAAGCATAAGCGAATGCGTGGCGAGCAGCGCATCCGATGAGGACGAACAACAGCCAGCTGGAGATAATGATGATGTTAACGCAAATGCTAATGCTGGTACTACTGCTGCGGATGATGATGATGATGATGGCGATGGTGATGGCGACGATGACATGGAGCTGCTAAGTGCCGCTGCGGACGATGAGTACGAGGGCTTCACAACGCTGTCACAACTAAATGAAACACAACCAACTGTGGCAGATGCATTGAAAATGCCAAATATCACAGCTTCTGATGCAGCAGGAGCAGCAGGAGATGTGCATGTTGCCTCCATGGCTAAACCTCAGGCCGTGCAGCATCAGTCATCGATGCAGAATTTACTTGCCAGCGATGACAGATCCCAGCATTTGAGTGACATCGACAATGAATCCTTCAACAGCATCGATTTCGATGCGGAAATAACAATTGCTGGCATCAGAGAGCAACAGACAGATGCAACAGCAACAGCAACAACAATATCAACTACTGCAACAACAGGAACAAACGAGTCAGCGGAGCCAATGCCAGATGCAACAACAATTGGCACATTCTTCAACAATTTGTTGTCCCATTCAAATGCAGGTGAGTCGTTCATGCCAATCCATAACTATATTGTGCTCTGATACCACTTAAATCAATGAATTGTTTGATGGGGTATATTGAATATATTTAGATACTGTTGCAGACATGGAAAGTTTATCAAATGCTATAAAATGACCACGACTATAAAAGAGTATACATAACCCATTCTAGTCTACTTTTCAATTGCAAATGTCAAATCAAAGATATATTTCACGTAATATCTGAACGTGGTGGCCAGACAAATATTTCATTATGGTACTTGAAATTACAGCTGACGGGTGCTTGGAAAATAGTTTTCATTTGATGTTATTGGATTTCGCGGTCTGTCGTTTTTTGTTTTCCATTGCACCACATTTATTTACAATATTTGTGCATGGCAATCAAATTATTTGCATAATTGTTCTAGAGAATGGGCACAAAGCGAATAGGAGAAAAAGAGAGAGAGAGAGAGAAGAGAGAGACACAGAGAGCAGGAGAAATAGATATTGAGGCCCTGGGAGCCAGACAACACGTTGGCAACGAAATTTGCATGCTGCCTTTTGCCAATTGCACTTGCAATTTAATGAAGCGTAATTGTTGTTGTTCACTATGCTGCATGGTCTCTGTGGAATCAACAGCAACAACAACGCACACACACACACACACAACCAAAACCAACAATAGCAGGGAGCACAACTAAATTAAATTAGGCAACGCTCGAACGAATCATGGCAGCGCAGGGCTCGCATAGACCAGGATGCTACGCAGAGAGGGATACTAGAGTGGCGAGGCACGGCAAAGCAAGGCAAGGCACAAGTTGCATGCATCATTTGTCGCTTCAGTGGCTGTGCGTCGCTTTCCACTTTTTGTTGCTTTCGAGTCTCGTCTGTTGACATGACAACAACAAGAGCAGCAGCAGCAGCAGCAGTAACAGCAACACAACAACAATATGAACATCAACAGCAAAGTCAATAGCATTAGCAAACAATATTTGCCATTTGAAAATTGAATTCATTTTGATTGAGAAAAACGTCGACGTTGTTCAAACTTAGAAACATTCAATAAATGCGTTCAGCTTTCCGCTAATGTACATTTACTAGAGTGCGTGAATGTGCATATGTGTGTGCGTGTGCTTGTGTGTGTGCCTCAAGGTAGGCAGCAAAAGATATTGCCATGAGCCCAAAAAAATGTGTAACATGAGAATGGAATAAAAAGAGAGCAACTGCAAACAAGCATGTCCTGCTATATGTGTGTGTGTGTGTGTGTGTGTGAGTTAATAAGCAGTGAAAATGCTGCTCACGCAGCCGGAAGCAGTAATTAACTGAATGAGTTGTGTGGGCGTGCGAAAGAGTCAGCCATACATTATGTACGACGTGCAAAAGAGAGAGCGCATTATCTGGGCTACAAGAGAAAAGAAGAAAAACATAGAAATGCAAAAAGAAAGCTTAAGCAACTACTTGACGTAAATGTTGGGCTTAAATTCGTCGTCTCATCCACGAACTGAATGTCTCTCTATCTGTCAGTCTGCATGTCTGCCGGTCTGCCGGTCTGTCCGTCTGTCTGTTAGTCCGTGTGTG